TGTCTATGCCCTGCGACATTCTTGTGCTTACGAAAGGGCCCGAATGTTGGTTTTGTACTCACGAGAGGGATTAACTCTGCAGTTGTGTTCCACAACCGTGCGTCCAAGGCGACTATTACCTGAAACTAGCGCCAAACGATCGGACCAATCAAAACGATTGCTTCGGTATATTTTGTTTCATCCAAAGGGCAATTTATCGACAGCTTGACCAAAAAAACAGGGGTGTCCTATCCATGTGGCGCGCACTGTATCAAGAAGCGGAACATCGTTGAAGGCAATGGCTACTACATGGTTCCACGAACTGCCATATGGTGGATGGCGCGAGTATCACGTCAAGGAGTTCAGCAAAGTATCCAAGGACCCCAAGGAGTGGGTACTGTACGAAGAAGGCGACTTGCCAAAGGACGAAGGCCAAGGTGTCAAGCGCAAGGGACCGACGCTACGCTCCGAAAAGGAAAAGAAGATGAAGACGCACGACGCCATTATCGACATGCGAAAACGTTTGGAAGCCGGTGAAGCGGAGAATGGGTTCGAACTTTATCCAAGCAACTACATGATTTACGGCGAGCGTATCAAGGCCATGGTGCACCAGAAGAAGAAAGCTTTCTTCGGGAAGCACACGGACCCTCATCTGTACCTCTTTGGATTTCCTGGCATGGGCAAGACGTCACTTTTGCAATTCATCCACGGCAACTACTACAAGAAGAACCTCGACAACAAGTTTTGTGACCTGTACGACGAAAACGTCCACACCCATGTTATGCTCGAAGACCTGGATTCTATGGTCATTGATAAACTGGGCGTGCAATTTATGAAGACAATTTGCGATGAAGCGGGGTTCGCGTTCGACCAATAGTACAAGACACCACAACTCACCCGTGCAACGATCCTCGTCACGTCCAACCAGAACATCGACGAACTCATGAACTCATCGGACGAAGTCAAGCTAGTCGAGTCCACGAAGGCTGCCCTCTTGCGTCGTTTCTATCAACTTCGTGTGGACCAATTGCAGCGCATGCTTGGACTGAAGCTCATTCCCGACTACGACCGCAAAATGTTGAAGAAAAATGGCAACGAAGACTCCTCCAAGCTCTACATGGACTACGACTATATTGCCGATTGTCCCACTGGCCTTCCGTTGAAGGAACCAGAGGTGTATCGCCAGTTGATTTGTGATGCGTATTACAAGTAATCATAATACTTTTTGATGCGTCCTGCAAAGAGGTTCCGCGGTTTTGAGGCCAACTTGCGTCAAAAGGACTGGTTGGAATTCACTCCACCTGGATACAACTTCTGTGGTCCTGGTACTGATTCCCCCCCCTAAACGGAACGGGGAATACTTTATAATTCTTGACATCCGATTTTATAAAACCTCGAGAGTTTTTTCAAACATTTGAACCGTGTCAATAGAGTGTGGATACTTAAGCATGAAGCTGCGCATGACCTTGGCCGAAAAGCATGATTTGTATGCAAGACACTTAAGCGACCCCAATGCATCGTATTCCACCTTAGCCATATGGGCTGCTACAACCTTTGGTCTCGTATCTACACCGTCGAAATCCACCATTTGCAACGCACTCCAACGACACCAAAAACTAAGTACCCGGGCTGACAACCACGCACGGACAAGGGAGCGTCGTGTATCGATGCCCGCGGTCGAAGACAAGATCGTTGCCTGGGTGCTACGATGCGAGGAACTTGGGGTGTGCATCACTGGCGAGCTAATTCGCAAGCAAGCCCAAGCCATCAGCATGGAGCTTGGCCTGCCGGCCTCGTCAACCGTGTCGTTCTCGAAGGGGTGGCTCTACAAGTTCCAACGTAAGCACGGGCTTACAAGCAAGATTCAGCATGGTGAGGCCGGCTCCGTACCTCAGGCTACCGTCGACGAAGGACGGGAGCAAATGCTACAAAAGACAGCAGGTTACTCGCCTGCTAACATTTTCAATATGGACGAGACTGCGTACTTTTTCTGCCTTTCGCCCCACCGATCCATCACGCGCAACCGTGTGTTGGGCACGAAGAAGTCCAAGAAACGCATCACCGTTGCACTCACGACAAACGCAGCCGGAACCGACGTTGTGGACCCGCTCTTCATCGGCACAGCAATGCGACCAAGGTGTTTCAACGGCCAAAGTGGTGTGGACCTTGGCTTCGACTATCACTCCAGCAAGAAAGGTTGGATGAATTCAAGCATATTCAACACGTACCTCAAGGCGATGGACGCACGTATGGCAGAGCAGGACCGAAAAGTCTTGCTGCTTGTCGACAACGCCCCGCCACACCAGCTGCACGACGAGACGAACCTATCGAACGTTCGTCTTGAGATGTTGCCCAAGAATACGACTGCTTACCTCCAACCCCAAGACGCGGGGATTATTGCTTGTTTCAAGGCAAAGGTGAAAATGCGGCAGTTGGAGAACGCCCTGCAGCAGATCCAATCAGTCATGGAAGGGCGCCAAGATGGACTGTATGAAGTACCACTTGACGTGGCAATGGCGTGGGCTCAGGATGCCTGGCGGTCGGTGTCGCAGTCCACAGTTGCAAATTGTTGGGCTCGGACAGGCATTCTCAACGACGACATGGCTGTTTTTACTGGTGGTGACGCAATCTCTAACAATTAATACCTGTTGTTTTTGATATTCTGTATAATGTGTTCAAGGGCACCTGTTCCGTTTAGGGGGGGGAATCAGTAATAGAGTCGATGGGGCAAAACCAATGAATCGAAAGGATGCTTTATGTCGCGATCACGATCGTGCGTACAGTTTGATGCAAGCGCACGGACAAGATCCTTACTTCAAGTTTAACAAAGCTGACCAAGAGCTGCTCGATGGAATTGAAGCGTTAGAAGCCAACGAGTTCGACTACCTATGGTAGGATTCTACCACCACCATTCATCACCATTAGACTAAATGAATAAACGCTGCTTATCCTTCGACAATGAATATTACTTTCCGAGAGGTAATTTCCCACTTTCCAATTTACCATGAAGCGCGCAGGTGAGGCTGCAAAGAAAGCTCAGGACGTGAAGCGTGTGCGACGGGACGTGAACGACGTGATCTCTGCAGTGGCGGAATTGGTGCGTACGTGGAGAGGCGAAGTAGTATGTGTTTGGATTGGTTAAAAAGCATGGAAATATTCCACTCCAATTCGTTTGATTGGTTCCTGTAAACAATGCGACGAAACGCGCGCAACTCGACCGATTTGTGCACGATTCCAAAGCGGAATGTGAATTAACATGTTATACGCAGGAGCAGCAGCAGCGCTGCTGTGGCGGAGGCACCCTCCCGACAGCGCGGTTTGTTTACTGGGCCTTGGTTTCTTCCTGGTTGAAGTCTTCTCGCACTTGGGTGCGGCGGGCGTAAAACGTATCGAGGTGCTTCTTCGGGATCTTCTTGAGCAATTCTTTCGGGAACGCTCGGAACAACGACCAGGCGAGGTCGAGCGATTCAAAGATATCACGCGACTGGTACGGTCCCTGCGCAATAAACTTGCCTTCAAACTTGTCGGTAAATTTGAGGTACAAGTGGTCTTCCATCGACAGCGCTTCTTCGCCGACGACGGCCTTCATCGCTTGCACGTCCTTGCCGGTTGCATAACTCGCGTACAGCTGGTTCGACACGGCCGCATGGTCGTCGCGGGTCATGCCCTCGCCGATGGCACTCTTCATCAAGCGCGACAACGACGGCAGCACGTTGATCGGGGGAAAGATTTGACGGTTGTGCAATTGGCGATCCACGTAAATCTACAAAATGGGCATGCCAACACATGAGGTCTGCGTCGCTCGCGCTGAGGCGTCACACGCAGTCCAGGATAAAGGCCAACACACAATTCTAGCCGTCGACATCAACGAGCGAGCGGCAGCGACGGGCAAAATTTTCGCTTGGAGATATGACACCCACCTGGCCTTCCGTGATGTAACCAGTCAAATCCGGAATGGGATGCGTGATGTCGTCGTTCGGCATGGTCAAAATCGGCAGCTGCGTGATCGATCTGCGTGGACGACGTTAGAGAATGCATGCCAACGACAACGCTTGATTTACGCACCCGTTGCGACCCATGACACGACCAGCGCGTTCGTAAATGGTCGACAGATCCGTGTACATGTACCCGGGGTACCCACGGCGACCGGGCACTTCTTCGCGGGCCGCCGACACTTCGCGCAGCGCATCAGCGTAAGAACTCATGTCCGTCAAGATCACGAGCACGTGGAGGTCGCGTTCGTAGGCGAGATATTCGGCGGTCGTGAGCGCCAGACGCGGCGTGATGATACGTTCGATTGTCGGGTCGTTAGCCAAGTTCATAAACAGCGCCGTGTTTTGCATGCACCCGCTCTACACACAGACAAGATGGAGGTCACACGTCGTCGATGCGTCAAGTGATCATGCATTCAAACATATCGAGAACGAGATGAATCCTCATATCTCACAACCGATAGGATCATCCACCTTGGCACCAAGATGGACCCGTGGTCGATATCTCAAACCAGACAAAAGTCGTACCTCTTCGAAGTCGTTGCGGAAGAAACGAGCCGTTTCCATGTTGACCCCCATGGCACCGAAGACGATGGCAAAGTTGTCCTGGTGCGAGTCCATGACGTCTTTGCGCTGGACCAGACCCGCTTGGCGACAGATCTGCGCGGCGATTTCGTTGTGCGGTAACCCGGCGGCGGAAAAGAGCGGAATCTTTTGGCCACGAGCAATCGAGTTCATGACGTCGATGGCCGAAATACCCGTTTGGATCATTTCCTTGGGGTAGTCGCGGCACGACGGGTTGATCGGCTGCCCTTGGATGTCCAAGTAGTCTTCGGCAACGACGGGGGGACCGCCGTCGATGGCCTTTCCAGACCCGTTGAACGCGCGACCCAACATCTCTTCCGAGATTGGCATCTTCAACACGTCGCCCGTGAATTCGCAGTGCGTGTGTCGGTTGTCAATCCCGTCCGTTCCTTCAAATACTTGGACAACGGCCTTGCTACCCTGCACTTCCAGCACCTGCCCTTGTCTACAAATGCATCCACCCATCACGATTGCATTCGTCCAGGGGGTCATTCATCGTACCGCACTTCGCCCGTGGACAACGTCAAGTTGACAATTTCAGCGAACTTGGGCAGCTACCAACAGCAATGCGGTGAAGCACGCAAGACAAATGTCTGCGCGGTATGGTAGCAGTGCAAGTACCTTGACGTTTTCGAGGATGACGAGCGGCCCATTCACGCCCGAGATCGTGCGGTAGTCTACATGTTCAATCCACGCGATTTGAGGAGATACAGGCATCGTCGGCAGCACGCACCAATGCGGGGCTCCACGTAGTAGTCTCGCACGACGGCCTTCGCGTTCACTTCAAACATCTGCAAGTCGATCGACTTGCTTCCATGGCCTCCTTTGTGGCTCATCTTCTTGGCTCACTTCCCTCTTCGAAGTCACTTTGTGTCAGCCCCAGACGAGGCGGAAAATATTAAATGTCACAGGTCGTCACTTCCCATACAAAGACTTGCCCATCACTGCCTCTCAAAGTAGATTCTCCGGATACCTTCGCCTGTATCCGAAAACCCCCAAGATCCCGACAATTGAAGTTTGCAAATCGACATCTCGGGGTTTCGAGGTTTCGGGGTTTCGGGGTTCTTGCCATCAAATTTCAACCCACACCGTTCTCCACATGCATATTGCAAGTATTCCTTCCGTCGTGACTTGTTTTGGCAGGTGCAAGCAACACGGTGTGATCTTGTGCTCCGATGGGCACTGTATGCCTGCAATGTAGAATGCTTACACAAACGTGCTGGAGACTTGGACTGCAGGGCTTGCGATGCGTGTCTACAACCTCCGAGACATGTACTGAATCTCGCGTGTCTTTGGCGATATTGCAAAGTGCTTGCAACGACAAGGACGACTCCGTTGCAACTACAACAAAGCAAGCGTTGGGCGGACTGCACGAGCGGTTGGTGTGCTCCAACCCTCCAGCATACTCGACGTGTTTGGTTGCACAGTGAACTTCGTTAGGTTGGCATACTGCAACCACCACCGTCGCAGCGACCAGGATCGACTTGATTGCCCTCGTGGACATGCAAACGTTGGAGTGCACCCCTCATGTAACCATTGCTAAAATGGCTGGGAGTTTTTCCCATGGCACCAGCCATGCTCACCCTGTTTTCCCCTTCTTTGGCTCACTTCACCGGTTTTGCGATGCAGCAGCTATCTTCTCGCCGGACGTGGATTCCGTGCCGTGATGTTGTAGTCGGCTTACATACTCCGTTCCAATCGAGTGACACGCCAGGATATCAAAAAAATAGTATCATCTACTGCATCAGAATATTCATAACTCGAATACCATTGGCTACCTATTATTTTTAAAGTATGGGGCGATGGAATTGGTCATGTCCCGCATTTCAATTCGCGGCACACGGCGCGACTGCCTGGGCGGACGGCATCGTCGTCTGGACTGGATGACGCCAGTCCAGACGATATTCCATGACGAACGGCTCACTTGTCCAACGCTCCGCGCGATCGCAAAATTCGTCATTCGGTTTTCGATGATTTTCATATTTTTTACTGTAAATTGGCGAAACAAGCTGATTGGCTGATGAATCGGGCCAGCTGAAAAGCGAGACAAGTCACGAGGTGTGAGTTTTGACGCCTTCGAGTTGTCCGTGTCCTTTTAAATTGCATTGTGGAGTGTCTGCCTTCGATTTTTTCTTGGAGATTATATCGCTGGGAATTGTGCGACGACCTGGTGATCTATGCTGGTGGGCTGCCCATGCCGCGAATCAAAAGGGGCGCGTGGAATTTCTCAACAAGAAAGTGTGCCAATCCCAAGAACAACAAACCGATGTTGGACTAGTAAACGCTGCACGATTGTCCCAAAATTTGTATGGAACACGATTTTGTAGAACCAATAGTACCTAGTATTACTATGAGAAAACTCTGTTCGCGACGCCCAATATTTTATTCATGTTTTGATATAAAAATTGCAAAATCGGGATGAAATTCCCTTGCTCTGTCGATTCGTTTTGAAGGGTTTTTCCCACCTTTTTCGCGATTTTTCACACGATGCCAATCATTGCAAGATTCACAGCATCTTGCACCGCATATCGAGCAGACACAATGGCGGCGCATTCGTTCCCTGGGCCGACGACGCTTGTTTCGACGGGCCCTCGTCCTTCCTTCCTCATCTCGCAGCTCGCCGACTCGTCGCCGCTCAAATCGACGCTCGAGGCTTGCTTGAACACCCCGATGGTGCCCAACTCGTTTGCGTTCGCTCATCGTGGTGCCCCGTTGCAGTTCCCTGAACACACGCGTGAGTCTGCCATAGCCGCGGCACGTCTCGGCGCTGGGACGATCGAATGCGACGTGACCTTCACCAAGGACAAGGAGCTCGTGTGTCGCCACGCCCAGAACGATCTCCACTACACGACCAACATCTTGTTGACACCGCTGGCAGCCAAGTGCACGACGCCGTTTACGCCGTACAACCCGGACACGAACGAACCGGCGACAGCGGAATGCCGGACGTCCGATTTGACGCTGGCCGAGTGGAAGACACTGCGGGGGAAGATGGAGGGCTTCAACCCCAAGGCCCGCACCGTCGACGAGTTCGTCGACACTGGCACGCCTGGCTTTCGCACGAATCTGTACGCTGGCGCCACGAGTGGCACCGTCATGACGTTGGCCGACTCGATTCGGTTGTACGAACACCTGGGGGTGCGCCACACCCCTGAAGCCAAGGCGTTTGCCGGAGCGGTCGAATGGACGCGGGCCGCCTTTGTCCAGAAGATTCTGGACACGTACAAGTCATTCCATGTCGATCCCAGCCGAGTCTTCTTCCAGTCGTTCTTCCTCGACGACATCTTGTACGTCGCCAAGAACGAGCCGTCGTTTGCCGCCACCGCTGTGTACTTGGACAGCATGACGACCATGGCGGATGCACCGACATCGGCCAACTTTTCCGACTGGCTCGACCGCGGCGTTCGGATCTGGGCGCCGCCGCTGTTTGCTCTTCTAGACGTTCAACAGAACAAGCTCGTGGCATCGAAAGTTGGCATGGACGCGCGGCATGCCGGCCTCGACATCGTTGCGTGGTCCCTGGAACGCCAAGGAATCCTCGCCAACTCGAACGACGCGTGGTATTATCAAACCGTGCTGCCCTACATCAAAAACGAAGGCTTTGCACTGGAGGCGATTCAAGTGTTTGTCCAGGAGCTGCAACTGCTCGGGCTTTTTTCCGACTGGGCGGCGGCGCCCGTGTTTTACGCCAACTGCGTTGGCTACGGGCATAATCCGGTCGTGGCACACTCTGCCCATGATCGCTCGGGACTCCGCTCGTCGGGTGGGGCAGCTCTCGAACCAACAAACGTGTGGTTGCCAGCGCTGCTTGTCGTCGCCGGGGTTGGCGCTGTCGTGTGGAAGGGCCTGGATGACCGACGGCGAAGAAGGACCCCCCACTCGTTTGAGAATTCCACAGCCCCGCTGATCGCGCGAGCCGAAAACACTCGCGAAGATTGAACGTTTCGTTGAATGTGGTGTGATGCAGCACACGAGGCTCCATGGTGGACAGAATGGATGGCTGGCAAGCCTCCTCCAGCTGCGTATCACGTGGTATGTCGGGTGGTCGTGGATGCTGGACGAGTGGTCGTCACAAGCGTTGAAATCACAACAACGCTCCATTTCGTCCAAAATCGCAATGCAATTCGATGGTTGGATGGACTCGTCAGCACGAGCAACTTTGATGATGGTGATGCTGCGCCATGCACGAGAAGGAGCATGCTCGCTCGTGTCGACCCATGGCGAGGTTGCGCACGGCCATCGTAAAGCTCAAAAGTTGGAGTTCGTGCGGTCTAAAGCAGCGCGGCCAGGACGTTGCCCTGCTATGCAAGGCAACGTCGACATCGCATGCAGGTTTCCACACTGGAAGGAGGTGAGAGCAGTCGCTCGGACGCCGCCTTCACGTTCCGAATCGAACCAGCGACGGATAGTGAACCGTGTGCCTTGGTTGCGTCAACATTGTAGTATGTGGTCTCAGTCTGAGGCGCGATTTCCAGGGCCGAGTCGCACGAGTCGGTCAGATCGCGGGTGCAGGATGGCTCACCCTGATCGTGGTACCACATACCGCAGCAGTCGTGGGCAAATCTACGTCGAGGGACAAATTCGGACTTCGAGATCTGCGTCGCATGCGATCGGGGTCACGTGCTGCTGGATTATCCAACGCTGTGAAAGGTCTTGTCCGTGGGTCGTGCGGATCAGCCACGCTGGTGTCAGTTGTGTGTTCGCAAGGTTGCACAGATTGTCTCTTTGCATTCGACGACGACGGGGAGCTCCAAGTGCCTTTCGACAACATTCATCTTTCCGCGACATCCGGCAAGGTCACGCACGGTGACTCGGGAGCTGGCGCCGATGCCGCCGTGGGTTGTGGTGCGGCACAAGTTGTTCCTCGATGATCCTCCACCCGAGCAATGAAAACATGTAATCGCGTTTTGATTGGATAAAATTGGAATTCCACCAACCATAATTTCAAAAATAAGCCAATCGAATTGCATCATCAAGTTTTTCTGTCAAGTGGCGCCATTCTGCGCATGGACGAGTAACGGCATGCGCTCGCTACCGGTCGTTCCATGTGGGCTCGTGCTTGGGATGGAGACATGATTGGGCTGCCTGTGGTGGCGGTAGTGAACCCTGTGATGATCGTCAGCGGGAGCGCAGCGACAAACCGACGGCAACGGACTCCCACGAACACGATATGCCGTTGCTGCACAAGGATCGCATCCCAACGTGTCGACGTGCGATCGCATGCGTTGTGTAGAGGCCCTTGCCCCTCGTGAAAGACATGAAGACAAAGGATGCGACGGCATGATCGGCGGAGCAAGGTGACCGCATCCACGTCCAAACCTGGAATTGTGTTGACGTGCATGACGTGGGTAAGGTAAGGCATACACGTTATTCTTGTCATCTAGATGCCGACCCGACGGTATATCCGTTCGTCCAGCATGTCGGAAGGCTTCAACAAGCGCGCCACTGGCCTGGGCGTCGGTCGTGAATCCATTGGAACAACGTGGGGGCCATCGTTGCTTGGACAAGGTTCGACTCGATGCACGTGCAGAGTAGGAGTTTGCATTCGTTTCGGTCGGCGTCGGTAACGAGGAGGCCCTTGGTCGTCACGACATCGATGGCATGGCGAATCCACAAGTCCGTGTCGCTATTCGAGTGAAGCATGCAGTGGCCGACAAAGGTATTGAGCTCCGGCACACCAGTGATCATTGTCGCCAGCGCGTTCATTGACGCGTCCGTGACTGGGGTGTTTCCGGATTCCATCGAGTCCAAGAGCTGCACAAACGTCTCGAGCTTGGCATCAAGCGGCTGGAACGGATCGTCGGGAGGCGCGGTGGCATACGGCGGGTTCTCAGCGGCGCTTGGGTCAGGCATGGGGTTTCGAACCATGCGACCACGTGCGTCGGGGTCGTGGCGTTGGGACGACGACGATGGCGGCGCGGAATGGCAGTGGTCGATGGCGTAGTTGCCCTGGGCACCTTGTACAGTCACCGACACGGCGCGGTGTCGATCGGGTGGAAGCTCGACAAACTGCGACGGCAAAAGAGACTCTGGCGGCATCGACGACCGTCGGCCATTCACGTAGGTGAAGTGTCGTTGTGTTTGGCTCGTGTGATGAGGATGGTGGGTGGGAAGCGCAGGGTCATGCCGTGATACGTAGGCAGGTGGCGTGTGCTGTTGGCTCGGAGCGTACCGAGAAGTCGATGGCGAGAAACTTGGCATGGGCGGTGGAGCGATGCCAGCCACCGGGGTGAAGATGGTCGCTAGTTGTCATGTGGCTCAGTGCATTCCACGTAAAAGGGCCAGACGTACGCAGCATGGGGAGCGTCACAAATTGCTTGAAGATGTACATGAGCGCGCGAACAATGCCTTCTTTTGCAATCTTGCCGACAAATCCAAAATGGCACGTCGCGAGGCCGACGATCACGTTGCACTTGTGCTTGAATTCGCCCTGGAACACAAGGATGTGAGACATCGTCTCGACGGCACGCAGTTGTCGCACCCGAATCGCCCGAACTTGTTCGCGCTGGAGCAAATTGGCAAGGGTTTGGCCCATCCTGCTCACCACGGCGGCGACCGTCCTGGAAACGAGTCAGCCCCCATCTCGGGTACACGTTCGACGTACCCAATTTGATCGTTGAGATGGTGGAGGTTGAGTGCCACGACTTGCTGCCGTTGACGCAATTCGGCAACCCACCCCGCGCTTTCGCCGCCGACTTTGGTGGCTTCGCTCTTCCAGAAAGCGACTTGAAACTCGTTCAAACGCCCGAGGTTCTTGAGGCGGTCGAGGATGTACACCGAGAAAAACGCGGCTTGCTCCGACTGCAGCACAAGTTTCTTGTCCATCACGTGGCGAAGCAGGCGCGACAGCATGTCGTCGCCAGCTTGGTCGGACCACAGGGTGTCGTACGCGACGACAATTCCAACAAAATACGCCAAATCTTCCACCGACGTCACGAGCGGGACCATGTCGACGACGAAGCGCATGTCAAACAGTTGCGGCGCTTTCAACAGAGCCAACATCCTGTCTTTGAGCTGCAACCGCGCTTGGATCGCAGCCATGGGGCTCTCCGGCGGATACACGGCAGTCATGACCGACTGAAGCGGCGACCATGCGGCAATCGTGTCGGCGGCCGTCCGGCCGAACGTGTCGTCGACAACGTGGCCAGGGCCAATGACGTCGACGATGTCGTACGCCCCCGAGTCCAAGTAAGCGACGACCTGCCCCGTGACTTGATGGAGTAGTTGGAGCACGGTGCCTGGCGCAAACCGCAGCGACACGACTTCGCGAGCGGCAATGACCTGGACGTAGTGAAACTCGTTCGACGCGCGATACTGCAACACCAACGGCTCGTTTGTGCTGTTGGTGATTTGAAACGGACTGGGCGCCTTGGACGGATAGCTTTGAGCGCGCGGTAGGGTCATGATCCCGTGCGCCCATCGTTTCTTTGGAAGTTCGGGCCACACAAACGCCGGGTTTGCTCCTACATAACATCCGTGATGTACCTGCCGCGCTCGATCGCCGGATATGACAAACTCGACGCACCTTGGGCAAGCAAGTAGTCGGTGGCGTGCACAGACTCGTACATGACAGCGTAATGCAAAGCGGTGTTTCCGCGCGACAAACGGCGATTGATGGGAAAGCTATCTTCGACGGATTCGACCGTGAATTGTGATATCGTGTCTTGGGTCAGACACGTCGGGCGAAGGGACGAGTGCGTTACAATCAAGTGAAGTGCTTCCATGTTGTTGGTCGCAATCGCGTGTTCCAGCGCCGCGTCGACGAGTGGATCTTCGATGTTGAAGGACACACCCTGGTTCTTGACGACATATTTGGCGACGTCGAGCAGGTTGAGCGCCAGCGCTTCGACAGCTCGAGACTGGCCAAATCGCCCAGTGTACCCTACCGTCGCACTGTGGTTTTCACGCAGCAGACGCTCCAGCGTCTGGACGTCGCGGGCAAAGTACGTCGGGTCCATCCCGCCTCTCCCGCTCACGGCGAATTCGATTCTGTCGAGAAAAAGTGCATGTGGTCGGTCAGCCTACCGTACGACACCCCATACTGAAATTCATATAATTGTGGCGCACGACTTCCCGTTCGACCAGCAAGAGCGCGCCGCCAGCGCAGACATGACATCGACAATGAATGTGTCTGCCCATGGAAAGAGCGGCGCGCCTACTTGGAACGGCGCACACCGCCATGTCCCCGCGCTGGCTGGGGAGAGCTCCTGGCGAGCGTGGACATGACAAACCTGTATAAATTGATTCAATGCATCCATGGAGTCCCCAGGCACTCCGCGCACAGGCTTGCCGATGGCCTGGCGTTGGTGGAGTTGCGCAATAATGGCGACTTTGCCGGCACCGGTGAGCTCCCGTTTGCTGCTACATCCTCTCACTATGGTTTTTGTCGTGACCTTGTACACATTGCTATGATACCTTTATAGACATTTTTTCTACATTCCTTTTTAAGTACATAAATTTCATCACCCAATAAACACACGCCAATTTTTTTGGGATCAAAGTGGAGTACAAGGAGCACCGACCGTCCCGAGTGGTACTGACAAGTGTATTCTTGAAAATTGTATCGGCAATTCGATTGACATCAACGAAAATGAATTGACAGCCTTTAGACAGGATTCAAAACAGGACTTTCGTGTCCTGTTTCGCTTCCCCCAGCAAGTTTCAAGAACCCCCCTGCGAATATTATTAGGAAACGCAGGAAAACTGATTATCATTCATTTCCCACGGCCTTTGAATTCATTCCTTCCCCATTCAGCAAGTGATGACAACACCAGTGAAACGCCCGTCTTCACCGAGCTCGAAGACGTCGTGCAACTGACCCAGATAAGTGCAGAAATGCCATTCTTGGCCCGAAGGGGCAAGATCACGGACATTTGGGACTGAATCGCACGCAATTTGGCCACCAAAGACGAGTTTGACCGCCCACAATTCGACGGAAAGAAGGCGCAAGCTAGATATATTATCCTCTTACGGGACCATCGTGAGAGCAACAACGCTTCGCAACGAGCCTCGGGTGCTGCCGAGAATGTCATCGAAAAGACCATATTGGTAGATGATCTTTGCAACCAAGTCGACGAAGCCAAGCGAGAAGAAAGCAACAGTCTGACGTAAGAATACGAAGAAGACTCACAAGTCGAAGAGAATGGGGACTTCGTGCGCGAAGAAGCAATGAAGTCGCAAGGAAAGCGAAAGATGAAGGATGAAGACGACTCCGGCCGGGGCGGTGGCGGCAATATGCTGAAGGTTCTTTTGTTGGTTTCAGGCCCGTAGCAATATTTTGTTGAAAACCAAGGTTTAAATGTCGTACGAGGTGCGAGAAGATGTCACATAAACGTGCCCGGGAACATCCAAACATTCATGACATGTCGTGGGAGTGCCATGGAAATGTCAGTCGACTCAGACGCACACACATAGATTCATCGCGACATATACGTGTGTTGTTCTTTGTTATGATGACAGCAGGCAATCCAAGTAGGTGACCCAGTCACTTTATATCACCAACATCGAAAAAGAAATCCACAATGGCGTTTGCATGTGCATAGCCATCGAGTGAGAAGCAGACGTTTGGAATGACGGGTGGCTTAATGCACTGATACACGTAGTGGAACATCAGCATGCGACGAGTGGTCTCAGTCGGACGATGTCGCTCACAGAGAGAACTACGATCAAACCTCGCAATTGATTTGTGTCTGTAGTCGTTTCAATGATTTACAGCTATTTCAGGAGTGGAGAAAATTCTTGAAACGTTTGAAATTGAAATCTGCTCGTTTCCCATTCAGCTCCTCGGAAGCGAAAGAGGAAACGAAAGGACTGTTTTGAAACCTTTCTATTTTATTCAAGGTGTTCTTGAATTGAAGCCAATCATCCACGATAATTGGTAAAAAAGAGATGGTCGCATGCACAGCCACAACCACGATTGTCCTGCAACAAGTCCTACTTTGAAGTATATTGAATTCTACAAATATTTCGGAAAAGATATGCATTTTCATGTGACCAGCTACACGACAGGAGTCCGTGGCAAAGCATTTTCAAACGAGCGAGTGATGAATTCGCATGGCATGCCTTCCCAGGCTTCAATAGTGCGCTTAACCATAGCAATGCGTTTTTAGGCTGCAGACCAGGTTAAGTCATAGCTCGACGTTGATTTGATAGACGGTGGTTTGCGGGACTTTAGAAAGAGTCAAGAATTTTAGAAGAGCCAGTTCAAATAGACTTATGGCGAAAACATGAATATTTTATTGCCATTACGTTTCCCGTTCAGGTTTTGAACGTACAGGACTATTAGTAGACGACAAAATATGTTGAGCGACAATGTACAAGGACTTTCAATGACCCTCTCTTTAACATTGGGCGGAGCCATGGAGGGTTCTGGGGACTCTATTGGTCGACACACTTGTCCTTTTGAAACGCGGATTTTTGCAATCGATTCGTCCTCTTTACAGTGGCGGGCGTCATCGAAGGGACTTTTACTCCTTCACGATAGACTAGGAATACGTGAATCGAATCTGCATCGCGCGCTGGTTCGAACCGTGCAATCAAATGATTCTGAAACACAAAACCTTGCAAAATATTCTACTCCAAAGTTGTGAATGAATTTCCATATGCATCGTATGTTTCTATTTCCTTCTATTTGTGATTGTTGGAGGCGTTCTGAGACATACAATATTTGACAAGGTTGCGTGTTTATGTCCGTGGCTCCTATAAAGTTTCAGGTCAAGGAAAAATTGATAGTGGATGCACGTTGTGATTTTTTTTCAAAAAGTTAATAGTTTTTGTTGAAGTCCCCTCGATGCCGCCCACCACTGTTATATACATTAACTGCGAAAACGACATGGTAGACTAGATAGAATCTTTTGAGTAATGTTGAAAATACTCATGAAATCTCGGGAAAAAATTACTGCGTGAAGTTATTCCCTATTTGATTTAATATATACAACAAAATTTGTAGTCCAGAGGTCATGTAGGTTGAAAACCTCTCAATTTTACTGCGACCTTTGGTTCACAACTGAAACTCACATGGCGACCAATGTGCGGGGTACCAATGCTGCAATGATCGACGAAGTCTGTCAGTTCGTTCAGTCTAATCGTCCCAGGGCCCTAACCGAAGTGGAGCGCCTTGACATATTACGGGCATACGCATACCTCACAACTGACCGATCAACGGATGTCACGACAGAAGTCGCTCGGCTGCTGGTTCGATCCAGGAAAACAATCCTGGCCGTATGGCGAGACTACAATGACGAATAGAAGCTTATTCCTGCACGCACACCAGCAAACACAACTGCCAAATCAACCCGCATACCGAGGACCCTCGACGTCATATCTTCAGTGCAGCGCTTTGTACGCAACAAACGTCAACTGCGAGTACGCGTCGTCGGCAAGGACGTCATGGCCTTTCATTTGGAAACTGGTGTGCTGCAATACAATCCCTACACAAAGGTCGAGCGTGACACCGCATTGAGGTGTGTACAGAAGTTCGTCAAGCACTGCGGATACCTGCGTGGCTCGAAACGTGGCATGAAGTCCCTAGCCCTCACCGAGCGCAACACGATCCTTCGAGACAACTATGTCCGCTTCATGTGTGAGGCCACCCAACATGTCAACACTGCGGACCGACGTACAAATGTATATCTCGACGAATGCTTCATTCATCAGCACTACAACAAGTGCGATATATCACTGTATGACCCAAACGACGACCTCGACGTACAAGTGAAGCCGAAACACAAAAAACACAAAGGGCGTCGGTTCTGTTTCATCGGCGCCATTGTTAATGGTGGTCCTGACAACTCCAAGGTTCTCTGCTACGAGAAGTTCGTTGGTGGCAAACAAACCAAGGATTATCATGGTATGTTTGATCACACGTACTTTGTGGCATGGTTCGGACGTTAGCTGGCCGCGTTGAAAGCGGAGGGGATCGCTAACACCATCATTCTGATGGACAACGCCAAGTACCACAAGTGCGTACCTGAGATGACACCGAAGTTCACTTGGCCGAAGGGAGACCTAATCGACGTTTGCGACTCTCTTGGAATCCCGCACAGTCCTGGTGAGATCAAAGCTTCACTGTGGTCCAAGATCGCTCCGTATGCGTGGATGGTCGTACCTGAGGTTGTCGACAAGGCAGACGCCGCTGGACAGAGCTTGTGTACAGCCCACCCCACCACTCCATCTACAGCCTATCGAGTTGATATGGGCTATTGTTAAAGGGATTGTAGGTAGACAGTACGATACCAACACATCCTTCAAGGACGTTGAAGACCGCCTTGACGCCGCGTTCGAATCGTTGAGCTCCAAGATGGTCCATGGGTGCATCCTTAAGGCTGAAGGTGACCTATTGGAACTACATCGTCACATCTGCGCAATCGACAATGATTAGTCTGGCGATGTCCATGAGGACAACGATGTTTCTGCGAACTCTGAATCTGGCGAGGACAGTGGGTCATCAACAAGTGATGACTGATTTGTGTAAAACAGTGAATTTTCGGTTATTTTGCTCTAAGTTCGTCAATTTTTGTCCTTTTGACGTGCAAACGATAGATCTAACCAATACGCGTATTTTGGCGGAAGGCGGGGCTCATTTGACGCAATATTGACGGAGTTAGGGTGATTTTACTGTTTTTCTCTACTTTTTTTAAACCTTTATACTTTATAATTGTAGATTTATGGAGTTTGTGGAGGTTATGTATGATCTGCAACTCGAACACATCATACATTATTTCGGATATTTATCCGGGAGACCCCTCGATGGTCCCGATGACTGTAAGTAAAGACTAAGCTTAGTACATACCACAACGGACATGCTGAGGCTCCACCGCAGACTAACTTTATGGCACATCGTACGTCGACATCGTGTACCCTGTACCCGGAAAAGCCGACATGGTTTCATTCTGAAAATGCATGGAGGAAGAATTAAGTCAATATATTGAAATTACGAGATTTTGTCCAATTTGATTGGCTATAACTACAGAATTCCCCCGCAATAGGAGACGGTTGCACAATATGCATTAAGAGAGGTATATTGTTTGGACAAGTATTTAGTTACAAAGTGGCTTGTTCGTGTTTGATTGTTGGAAACAAACCATATGGTTTTGGTTGCAAAATGCTCTGATCGCAAAATGGGCATCAAATTCGAATTCAGGAGGGGGTTGATACCCTGGCAACCTCCAGAAGACAAAACGCACACCACAGACAACACACACATCCATTTACATGTTAAGAAAACTGTTCGTCAGCTCGTAAACATCTTCGTCTAAAATTCCAGTGTGGCGCCAACAATTTGCAATTGTTTGCTGCGAGACGGAATGCCATGCCTCCTTGGCCCACTCCAGCGCTTGCAGAAGACTAACTTCATGCAGCTTGTTGACGTGGGACGCAAAGTTCTCTTTGTCCGATTCGTCCAAGGTTTCGACCAAATCGTCAAAACGCCTGACAAGGTACTGCGCACGCAGGCCATTGATCTTGCACTTAAACGCTTGAATGACGCCGGCATCCTGAGGCTGCAGAAAAGCCGTAGTGTTGGGTGGTAGCATACGTACAGTGACATTTGACAGGCGTCCTTCGTAGCGATGGGGAGACGCGTTGTCAAGGAGCAGCAGGACATGGCGCCGTTCTTGCTCCATG